AAGAGGAACTGGCTGAGAAAGAAGAGGAAATGGCCTGGGAAGAGGCAGAGCAAATTCTGGACAGAGAGAAACAAGTTGGAGAAAGGAAGAAATGGTCTCACAAAAAGGAGAAACATGTTAAGGAAGAGGAGGAAGAGGCCTGGAAACTGAGGGAATTGGCCCAGGATCATTTATTTAGAGAAGAGGAAGGACTGTCTGGGGAAGAGAGAAAACAGGTATTAGAAAGGAAGAGCTTGGCAGAGCAAGAGAATATATTGGCCCAAAAAAGAAAGGAATCGTTGGGAAAAGAGGAAAAACAGGTCCATAAAAAGAAAAAAATCCAAGAAAGGAAAAAACAAGTTGAGGAACAGGATAAAAAGGAACAGGCTAAGAAAGAGGAGAAAGAGGACAATAAACAGGTAGCCTGGAAAAGAAAGAAAGTGGTCCCAGAAGAGGAGAAAACAATGGAAAAAATTGAGAAAGGATCCCCAGAAGAAGAGAAAGAGGCCATGGAAAAAGAGATTGGGAAAGATGAAAAAGAAATTGAGGAAAGAAAACAATGGACCTGGGAAAAAGAGAAACTAGCCCCAGAAGAGAGAATATGGAGTGAAGAAGATGAGAAATGGTCCCAGAAAGAAGAGAAAGAGGTTGAGGGAAAACCACAACAGGCCTGGGAAGAAGAATTGTCCCTAGAAGGGGATGAACAGGCTGGTGAAATGGAGAAATACTTGCAGGAAAAAGAGGAAGAGGCCAAGGAAAAAGAGGAAAAGGGATTGGAAAAGGGACTGACCCCAAAAGATAGTGAAATGGACACAGAAGAGAGTCATATTGCTGAGAAAGAAAAGGCAATAGCCAAGGAAGAAGTGGATAAATTGTCCCAGGAAGAAAGGAAATTGGCCTATGACATTAGGGTCAAGGAGAGTGATACTGCCAAGGAAACAAAGAAAATAACTGAAGAAGAAAGAATACAGGCAATGAAGAAACTGGATATGGAAAAACAGATTAGTTCTGAAGAGAAAGAGGCTGAACTGTTTAGGATCCCAGCTGAAGTAATTAGAGAAGTGGGTATAGTGCCTTTGGAAGAGATAGAAATAACTGAGGGTGAGGAAGAGAAGAAGCTCCTTAGCGAAGAGGAGGAGGAGAGCCTGAGTGAAGAGGAGGAGAGCCTGAGTGAGGAAGAGAAAGAGGTCCTTAGTGAGGAGGAGAAGGAGGAGAGCCTGAGTGAGGAAGAGAAGGAGCTCCTTAGTGAGGAGGAGAAG